CTCCAACCCTGACTACCCTAAAGGGCGAGGGGTGTCTTTCTGGGTCCCCCCCGGGGAGAAGAACCCCCCAAAGCGTTCCCGAGCCCCCGCATTCGGGGGGGGGGGGAGGAGGAAGAGAAAAAAACAAGCCGGCGGAACACGCAAAGGAAGTCGGGAAAAGGTTTTATATCCGGGAATCTTGGGCGACAGACCCACCGACAAAATGGCGGCCCGGAACTGAACCCCCCAAAAAGGGGGATAGAAATTGAGGGGGGAGGGGACGGAGAGCCGCAGCCCTTCACACTAAACCGTGTTAGCTGCCGCAGGGAATTCCCACCGTCGTCGTCACCTTCCTCCGATTACCTGGGCTTGAGGCGCTGTCACCTCCGCCTTTCCCGCAGGCAGGTGGGTAGAAGGGTTTGCTCTGGCTCCGCCTCAGGGAAAGAAATTTGGTGGCTAGTTAATGAGGAAGGCCTCAGAGACGGGGCACGCCTTGGCCTAGGGTTTTATGACACTCTGCTTGCCTTGACGGGGATCGTTCTGGCTCCTTTGTGTTTCCACCCGCCCGTCTCTTGGGTCGCCTAGGATTACTTCGCTGAAGCTTCTCCGTTTCGTCGAGCTCCTGGCCTGTACGTGTCGTACGCTTCCCTTACTGTCCCTTAAGCTTAGATCACATGTCTTGTAGGACTTTAAATAGTCTTTTCTTTTAGTGTACACCATTTTTCTTTATTTGCTTATTGTTATTTTACTTTATTTTGTTTTTAAACAACGGAGGTATATCCTAATTTGGGGGGAATTATCTGACGTTCTCTGTTACAGTAAATTGCTTTAGAGTTTTAATTTCTTTTCCTTAGAGCAGTAAAGATAAGGTGAAAAATGTTAAACATTTGGTTGTAATAGCAGGTTAAATATATAATATATATTAGCATATCACCTATTGTTTATATAAGGCTTCTGACATATTAATTTGCTTAGTTGTGCATTTGACCAAATCCCATAATTAATAGTACGTGCTTTGAATATTATCTATAAATATTCAAATCTTATCTATTATAAAATAGACTGTTGTATCTCATATAGGAAAAGGATGTGAAGGAAAAGGGAAAGTAAGAAAATGAACTCAGGTATATCAGTCCTATTAAAAAGAGAATAAAAGTAACATTTTCAAAATGTGGCCCTCAGATCTTTTGGCTCATATTTTTTGTGGTTACTTTAAATATTACTATGCTTAAAGGATATAATGACTGTTTTAAGAACAGGTTTTAACAATTAACTCTTGCAAAAGCAAACTATTAGTTTTGTCCTCTAAATTCACAATATTGCACAGGCATTTTATAAGTTACTGAATTTTTGTCATTGCTTCATGTTGTTTTCTTTTTAACAGCGCAGTCTTATGCTTATTTATTCAGAAATGCCTCAGTGAGTTAACTATAAATAGACTAACAAACATAAATAGCCTTTAAAAACTAACAAATTGATTAATGCATAATAACATTTATGGTTTATTTCATCAGCTATATGGCTGCAGAAAATTAAATGATAATCATTATATGAGATATGTGGCCATATAAGTCCTATAAATAAATAAGATCAAATGAGGTTTTCTACCAAGTTGTGTGTATAGGATTGTTGTCTGAAGTATTCTGTAGATGTTTCATTATTAATTTGATTTTAATGCTACCCAACTCCATCTGACTCTGGGTGGATTTTTGGTGCAGGTCAGTAAAACATTAATATATCTGGATAGGCACAGTCTGAATCATTAATTCCAGCTTGGTTCAGTGTATGAAGCATTAAATTGTATACAATATTGGCTACAAATTTGGAGGCGGATGTGAGTTTCTTCCTTGCTTCCCATCTACTTGCTCTCTTTTTATGTAGCGAGTTTGTGTGGTGAAACACGCGGAGAAATTCTACCCTCCTTGTTCCTGCTGCTGCTGCTTCTCATTCCAGTCACTATTTGCTCACTCAGAGGACAAATGAATATATATTGACAGAAAGGAAAAGAAATAGCAGAGCATCCTGTTTTTGTAGGATGGAGAAAAACATTTTACTAAGCAGGTTTTAAAAGCTTTATAATATACAGTACAGAAGTTTAGCTTAAAAATACAATAAATTAATTATGCAATAGAGAGTAAGACATCAGGACACCTGATATCTGGGATGTGAACTAGATGGTATTTGATACCCTGCCTGTTTCATTATTTTCACTATCATTTTATTCATGTTTTCAGTTAATATCCTTCTATAAGAACATAGACATGGCAGGTAAGAATAAAATAAATTTAAAAGGTACTACATATATGTGAAAAAGAGGTCAAAATAATCTTCATTAGAAACCATTTATTTATTAATGTGTTATTGTGCCTTTAATTTGCATTACAATGGATATAATGTCCCTTCAAGAAAAATTGTTGATATATTAAGGATTGCATTTTGAGAAAACAGGTTTTTCATAGTCTGTTTTTTGATCTAAGGAACAGGCAAAAACACTGTTCTAAACAGTTAAATCTGAATTGAAATTAATTTGTAGTTTGAGTGTGTTGCTTCAGTGTTTACTTTGTAAAATATAGTTGTATAAACCTAACTAAAACGTTAAACACTGGAATTATGTGATTCTAAATTCTATGCATAATTTAGCATAGCTAATAAAACATAGGTTAAACATAAACAACAAAATGAAACAATACAGAGAATTTTGCACACAACAAAAAATAAGGAAGGATTTATACACTGAAAGAATTATTTGGCTTCTACACTGGTAGGGCAACTGCCAAAAGTGAAACAGTAGAAATTATAATCAGAACCTTCTGTTCAACCTAGAATTTGGTTATGATTTCTAATGTATGATGGACAGGACTTGCTCACTATATTGTATCATAACTTATGTCTTTCAACAATTTCCACTGAGCTTTTTTGAAAAAAAGTTCATGGGAACCTCTGCAATATATATTTTATACATTGGGGTTTACTTATTTATTTTTATTATTTAAATCCCACCTTTCTGTCCATAGGGCATGCAGGAAGACTAAAAGTATAAATAAAGCAAACAGTTAAAATATCATAAAAACAGTTTAAACTATTATAAAAAATAATTCAAACTGAAAAAATTTGGCTTAAGAGAAAAGTATTCAGTCACTTCCCAAAAGAGATGGGAAAATGCAGTTCCTGAGAGAGTCATTCCATGGCTTGGAAGTAACATAAGAGAAGACCTTCACTGTTATGTTTAGAAAGTAAGGGCATTTTAATGAATTGTTCTGATAGATAGATAATCAGTCTGTATTGTTATAGCCGATGTTCATGTTTATATCTTTTCATATCCTCACTGTGTATATTTTTCTTTCTGTCAATGTGTGGGTGGGTGGATGGATGGATACACACACACATTCCTCTTAGCCTAATAGTATCTTACAGTGTTTTAAATAAAATTTCAAATCGTCATTATGAGCTCAGTATTAAAGACAGGTAAAAGGAATTATCTCCCAAAAATAAATATTTGGTGTTGTAGTGTATCTTTTGTGTAAATATAGTTTACAGATTAATGCTAAGGAATAGGATGGGCAGCTGCATATTTCTAATGTGAATTAAATAGCTAGTGATACCTGATAGGAAGTGAGAAAAAGGTTTCAGTCTTAACAGATTGAAAAATAACATAATGCTTATTTTTATTATATAAGGCATATAATACATATTTTAATATATATTATATGCCTAATAGTGTGTGTGTATATGAAGACAGAAAATAAAAACATTCTAATAACATTTTTTATTTTCTCTCTTCATTTTGAAATAAAACCATCTATTGTTTTAGTATACATGAATTGAATTGAAAATTGTGTGAAATAGGACTGAATGATCCTGCAGTAGGAAGTGTGGGAGGTGGCATTCACCATTTTGCCATCTCTTTTAAAGATCCATCTAGCATTGTAAATTTGTTCTGAAAGATTGGAAACCACCTACAGAATGGTGCTAGGAACGGCAGAGAATTGCATGAATAACGAAAACCACTTTTCAAGGGCAAAGCTGTACTGCATATAGGTTTCTCAATTAATAGAAGGACCTCTTTTGCTTGAGGAATGTCAACCTTGATCCAACCCAGTGCATAAAAATGTGATGCATATCAAATTAGGCTCTTTCAGATTCTCTGAACCAGTTATGCTTTTTTCTTTATTCCACATATGCCATCCTTTCAGATGTTACTTTTGAAAGTATCCTTGGTTTTAAAAACAAGCTCCAATGTGACCTAGGGTGCCTGATGTTAAAAACAAATAATCCAGACTCCTATGGTGTATAATGCTAATTGTGTAGACTTTACTGATAAAATATTTTAAAATCTGTTCATTCTTTTTCATAGAATACAGTCAACGTCTATAAAAAGATATAACTCTACATTTCAGTATGACTTTAAATGCTTTGTTGAAAATAAATTTAATAAAAATTAATTATAATAAATTTAAATACTGTTACAAGATGGTGATGTTTTGAAAGGAACATTTTAGTTGTTAATGCTTTCTTCCAGTAGTAGAAGTGAAAAAGTTATATCAGAAGGAGAATGCCTCTCAGTACAGTTGTTGTAAGTGGCTAGTAGCTGGGGATGGGGATGGAGAGTAAGGAGCTATTGCAGTAGTCGTTGGCTTCCTAGAATGATTAGTCAAAGTAGCATAAATCTGATACAGCATAATTCATGTGTTCACAATAATAGAACAAACTGCAGTTACTAACGCTTTGCTATTTAAGTTATGCTGTCTATTTTAATGTCACATAAAAGCAACCATATATCGAATCTGGCAGTCCCTCTAATTTGAACATTTATGTCACTTTTAAGGGTTAAATAAGTACTTGTTTGAATAGTATCAAGTGTAAAATCTCTTCTAATTTGCCTCCAAAGAAGTCAAGAACTAGTTTCCTAAACAGAAACAGTTTCTTTCAAGAAGAGACCTGGATTTCTAATAGGAATTAATAGCTGCACATAAATGGGTCTGAGTTCTTTTGGCAATCTTTAACCAGGTCTGGAATGATTAAAATGGTCTTTTGGCAGGAAGGAGACAGGTGTCTGATGAGTTGGGCATGGGTATCTGCAATATGTCATGGTATGTTCAGAGACAATCTTAATGCCCAATTCTTTTATTATTCTAGATTTGGATTGTAAAATAAAATATCTAGACTATTTTGTTTAGACTGCAGTCTTATGAACACCAACTATTAAACAGAAGGCAGTTTGTTTTCATACTAAATATTCACGAGAATGTGATAGAAATAAAAGAGTTGAATAAAACATTTTCCAATAATGTAACAGTGTTTTTATTATTCTATTTAGGTTGACTATTATTCTATTCTCTTAGGCTTGAATGGATGTATGTACTACTGGAATCAAGATCAGCTGTATACTTTGAGGTTGCCATCCAACTGATTACAGTATTAAGTATCTTGAAAATCTTTGTTAGAGATTATACGAGTTCATGAAGAGAAGTGAGAAGCCAGAGGGATATAGACAAATGAGGCCTAAAACATTTCCTGCCAGTAATTACACTAGCAGCAGCCAGCAGATGTTACAAGAAATACGAGAGAGCCTTAGAAATTTGCCTAAGCCTTCGGATGCTGCAAAAGTTGAACAAAATATGGGTAAAATACCAACTGAAGATCCCAGACAAGGTCGAAATCCCCCTAAATTTGTTACCTACCATAAAGCTTTGCAAGAAATTCGAAATTCTCTGCTTCCTTTTGCAAATGAAACAAGTCCTTCAACCAGAGGAACATCAGAAGTTAATCGTCAGATGTTGCAAGATCTACAAGCTGCTGGATTTGATGAGGTAAAATATAATTCCTAATGTGATGTCAGATTGGTAATGGCAAAAAACATTTTTGTGATTTATTGGGGGAGTACATTCATAAAATTATATTTTGATTAGGATTTTGTTGTTTCCTGTGCACGTTATTTGAATTTGCATATTACTCCCAAGTTACATTCAGTTATTATTGTCTACTGTCAGAATCCATTAGCTGAACAGATTCATAATCTTTCCTTATTTAAAAAGTACACCCTATCTTTGGCTATAAATAGTTGGAGGAACCAATAAAAAAAGATTTGGGGAAATGTATGGGGATATGCAGGCAATGGAGAGATAAGAAAAGGTCTTGTTGCTTGAGTAGGTCCATTATCAGGGTGCGCCGCTTGATCTGTGGCAAACTCCCTAAAGCCCAATTGCTTTCCCAGAGCCCTGACTTTTCAATTAATTTAACTTAATTAACTCAGTGAAGATTGATCAGCATTTTCACAGTGCTTCCTTTGCACCACACCTTTCGCTTTGGCATTGGGCAGGCAAAGGCAGTTTTCTGAGAGCCAACACATTAAGGCTGTGCTGCTTGACATCTATCATTTTATGTCTTTCCTTTTTGAGAAGAATGTGAGATAGGAAAGCTGACACTCTTGGGAACCACTGCTTGAAGGTGTAAGCACCTTCAGTCCTTGATAGGCCCTTCTTAGTACTTAACCCACCTTGTGACTTTACCCTTTAAAGAAAGGAGTGAAGCTAGGTCTCTAGTAATTTTCTCTTCTGTAGCTCTGATTTCAGAGAGGAGTCATATCAATGTGGTCTTGGTGCCATTAAGTAGTTCTTCATGCCTGAAGCTATAGGAGAAAAGGAATCTAGGGAGCAATCCAACTCTAGGCCTGAATCCAAATCTCATCCTTGCTCTAGTATATTACATCCTAAATAGAGAGGAAGGATAGTAATGGCCTCAGTGGCTCACCAGATTATTATGGGAAGCATACAAGTAGGATATGAGCACAACAGGACCCATTCACATACTCCTCAAAAATTCATGTATGCTGCCTCTTAATACTAGAGCTGATATAGTTATAACTATTAGATATTGATAATTTTATTCTCTTTTTTTAAACTTAATGTTTTCACAAAACTCTTCTCTAAATTTGATTGACTAAAATTGGTTCTCTCTTTCAGTTCCTTTCCACTGCAAATATAATATTCTGTTTTTTTCCAATATTGGCTGATATTCTGTCCTTGTTTAATTTCTTTCTTTCTTTTTCTTTTTTGCACCTTTTCATATTCTGAATGAGTGGAATATGTTGTGAGTATGGAGAAGCCATGGCAAAGAAATTGCCAGTTATCCCTACTGTCTATAGCACACATAAATGAATTGTTGTTCATAGTACAAAATATAGTATCAACTGTGAAATACTTCAATGATTGTTCTAATTATTTTCTTCTTCAAGCTAAAAACTACAAATATTCCTTGAGTATGAGGGACTATGGAGAAAGAATGGTTTTTTTCCTTTAATAATTAAAAATAGTGCTGAATTTTGCTAAAATATTATATCATCAACATCAATATAACTTTATTTTATAAATCAAACCTGCACAAAATATTGATTATATACTCATTCAAGTAACAGGAATTGTTCTATTCACAGTTCCAGCCAAATAGCTTGACTCTTCTTCCAGGACAGTTTAACAACAAAAAAGGTATCAAGCAGGCTAGTCAATTCTGTCCCATTACCCTCTCCAACACAGTTTCTTTTTCAACTGTCACAAATATTTACATCATGCTCCAGTGATTATTACACTCAAATTAGAAGAGATTATTCCATTTACTTATAATTGGCATTTTAATCCTATAATGCTATACAATGCAATAGCAGAGCAACAATTAACTCAAACTTTGAGAAACTTTTTTCAAGAAAATAATATTGTAATATTGCAGTAAGAGTGAAGTGGAACACTATGAAGGCAGTATTAAGACGAGAATGAATAAAGCAGTTGAGTATGATTAAAAAAAATCACAAAACATGAGTAAGCTTTATTCAGAAATTAACAGTTAGCAAAATATAACAGAACTGGATCAGCTAGTATATGCAAACAGATAGTAAATAGAAAGAGAGAGTTAGATGATTTGGAGACAGACAGAATCTCAAATTATTTTTGCCAAGCAAAGATACTATGAACATGATAATAAAAATTCTAGAATACTGGCAAATAAATTGAAAAAAACTAAGGAAAAATGTATTAGTTCAATTAAAAACAGCAATGGCCAAATAGTGACCCAAAGATATAAATAAAGAATTTAGCCTTTTTTTTCAACAATTATATTCCTCATATAATCCATCACCAATACAAATTAATCAATATTTAAATAGATTAACATTCCCAGAATTAGCTCCAGAAGATATACAATTTATGGAATCCCCTTTCTCTTTTCAGAAATGTCTGAAGTCTTTAATTCTATTAAAAGTAGAAAATCTCCTGGCCCTGATGGACTGTCAGGGAAATTTTATAAAGAATTTAAAGAGAACCTAATACCTAATTTTCTATTTTTATGCAATACTTTGCACCAAGGGGACCTCTTACCAAAGTCTTGGAAACAGTCTAAGGTAATTTAGACATTAAAGTGGGTAAAAATTCCCAGGAATAGGCATCTTTTAGGGGTGTCTCACTTTTCAATGTGGACTATAAACCATACACTAAATTGTTAGCTAACCAATCAAAAGTGATTATAAGGAAAATTATTCATATAGAGCAATCTGGTTTTATTCCAAACCAAAATATATCTACCCCATCAGGAAATTATTAAATATTATACAGATTAGTAAAATTAATAAATCTTCACTAGCCATATGTTCTTTAGATACATTTAAAGCCTTTGATACTCTGGAATTACCATTTATAAAACAAATATTAAATAAATTTAAATTTGGGGCTGGCTTTTGTAAGATGATTCAATATATACAGTACTGTGCAAAAGT